CTCCTTTCTACTCTAGGCGACTGATAAACCTTGGAAGTTTTTTCCACAGGCCAAAAAGTAAAGCTACCTCTTCAGTTTATCCCTCTTGATTGCGATTTCTTTGTTCTCTCTTTTTATCCGCTTCCTTCCTCTGCCAACTGCCCCATCTCGGTCACATTTCTCTTTTCTTTCTCCTCACTTTATTTCCAATGGGTTCCAACTGGCTCAGAGGCACCACCTGCCGGGCACAGTTCACATCTACACCCGCTGAAAAGCCAAGCTGCTAAATAAGATCAGCCCAGCTCCAAGATATCCCAACACACCTCCTTTCCCAGGGCTTCGCCCTTATATTGTAATCTCGTACATACTACGGCTCTAAGCTTTGACCAAAGATGTCTGAGCAACTACTGCATGCTCCAATACAGCCTGCCCCTCCTACCCCAGGTATCTGAAATGTGTTAGCTAATACTTTAAAAAAACAGCACGTCCCTTTTATTCCAGTCTAGGGAGTGGTTTCCCTCACCTCCCTGCGTGGGCCAAATTCTCCATTCCTTTGTATTCTGGGTGGACGTTTACACCTGTGCAAAGCGAGGCTGAGATGCTATTACATTTTTAAGGGATTGGGGGAAGGGAAGTTTCTGGGAAGCAGAGAGAGAAAACACTTGAGGAGTGGCATGGGAAATCAGCTGAATGTGACCTGCCAATGTGACACAATGTCAATCCTTGGATGTACAAACAGGGGCATATGGACAGACTATATTTCCCCTGTATTTGGCACTGCAGCAACCACTTTCTGGAATGATGCATCTAGCTCTGGTGCCTACAGTTCATGAAGACAAGGTTCCTTGGGTAAATCCAATAGACCTTATCTGCCTATGTCCTTAGACCAACATGGCTACCACCTACACCCCCCTGAAACATGGAAGATAGAGTTCAAAAAGGAAGTCCAAAAAATTGCAGAGGGTTCAGGGAAGGATGATTTAAAAAATTGGAAACTGTGCCTGCCTGGTAAAAGATTACAAGAATTCTAAGAACTCAGTCTGCTCCTAAAGTTGCAAGTCTTTAGACTTGATCACAGCCCATAAACCTGGACAGGTTTAGGTTAGAAATAAGGTGCAGCACTTTAGCAGCAAGAGTTATTAACCAACTGAACTGCTCATCTAGGGATGGGTGGAGACTTCATCCCTGGGAGATGTTGAATCAAAGTCAGGTGTCTTAGTAAAGGATATGTTCTAGTTCAAAGAAGAATTAATTCCAAGAAGGCCTGTGTTACACAGCTGGCTTTTAAATCTGTGACCTGGGGTCCTTTGCACCTACTCTGCACAGGCATAAATAACAGAACTGAAAATGGAGACTGGAGAACTGGTCCCGTGGCAAAAATGTATAAATCAAGGGAAGGTTGGGTGGACAGATAGATAGACATATTCGACTCTAGGGATAGAGATAGGCAGCCCAAAATAAGCACTAGGGATGGAAATAGATTAGATGGTATTAAAGAAAACATATGTTCCTGCACCTAATATGTACTTTAGGAGTACCAGCAAATATCTCGTGATTGTGCTAATTCTCACTTGTTGTACAGCCACAACAGGCCAGCTCCTCCCCTGCTGTAAATCCATTGACTCCACCAGGCTAACACTGGGAATGAATTTGGCCCCAAATAGTTTGATGCCTTTGTCCTCAGTTCATGGATGCCATGCAGCTTCCATGAGCTGCACCAGTGTGAAATGCAGCCAGGTGAAATGGGCAGCACTTTATACTCACTTATCACTGATAGAAGTGACTATGCTCAGCACAGGATAAGAGGATTGGGGCCTTTAGGTCTGTTTCCCAGACATCAATATAAGATACCATATTGAATCAGATAATGGGACCAAATCATCCCCTTGAGTGGGAAAATATCTATGAAATTATATCCGCACTTTAAAGGAGGTGTCACCACATTTGAAGCAGTGACTGCTTCCTGACATTGGGGACCACTTTGGGGGCTGAAATTTCAACTGCACCTACCCTGGCTCACCTGGGTGTTCAATTCTACAGCTGTCCCCTCCTCCTCACCCTGCTGTCTTGCTACCAGGAGACCTCTCTACCTACCTAAAGAGTGTCTAGAGCACCTCCCTCTCAGGTGTTTACAAGCTAAATACAGGTAGAGTCTCAATTCTGCCTCTCTCCAAGGCATCACAGTGGAGTTGACTCTTCACACTGACCCTGCCGCACCTGCAGCCTAATAACCTGCAGAGAAAAGAAGGCAGGAAACAGGACTTGCCGCTGCTCTTCTACTGGGCTTTCTGCATTATCTCCAGCAGGCTGCCAGTGGGGTTTCTGCATAAAGCAGCTGCTCTCTGGTACCATTTTCCTTCTGTTCCAACCCAGCCTCCAAACCTGCAGCATCACAACCACGCAGCTGCTTCCATCCGCTCAGAAGCAGCATAGTGGACAAAGCACAGCTGTAGACTTGGGTCCTGCTGTGAACAGCCCTGTCTTATGTGCTATGGCCAAAGGAAAAAAAAATCACATTTTTCCTCTGACATAAATGGCTGCATTAGAAGATAAAAAAATGTTCTGTCTGTATTCAATTCTGGCACCTCTTTTTGCAACCGGGTCCAAGTATAAGAGCACATGCACATGCTTAGCATTTGCTAAAGCAGGCAACAGTTGTGCAAGCTTCTCATATTCACACGTCTAGTGATGTCCTTAAACCTTGGCTCCTGGTAGGGAACTATCCCAATTTTCCCTCCAAACGCAGCACTGCCAATGCACTCGAGTCATGATCAAAAACAGTGCTGTTTTCTGAGCTTTCATAGTGCCTCAATCCTCACCTAAAACTTCCCACTAAAACTAAGGCCAGGCCTCTCGTGAACAGACTGCCAATAGTGTTGAACTGTGTGGCGATTGGAGGAGTCCAATCCCATTTTTGCTTGTGATTTATTAGGTTGCCTACTTTAATAAGGAATTTCCCCAAGAGAGTTTTCGTTAATCTCTGCCAGTTCTGCACATTAATTTCTCCATGCCTTAATAGCTTCAAGACAATGCTGTTGCTTTCACCAAAATAGTAAGTTATGTCCAATCAGTTTTACAAGGTAATGTGGGTGTAGCAGCCGTTCTTCCAGCCCTATTCACGCTGAAGCCTTTGAGCACCAGGACTGCCTGAGCTAAGACTGTAAGCATTTTGGGGCAAGGGACTGACTTTTTGTTGCACTTTTATGCTGACTAGCAAGATGAGGCCGATATGATACCTGATCTAAATAATATATACCAAAAAGAACAGCAACAATTCCTTCACTCCTCACCTTCCTCCCTTTGCCACAGTATCCCTCCCACCCGTATGTCCCAGGATTTATATGAGGGAAGTTTATCTACAGAGTTGTCATCTTTTTGATGCTGGGGGGCCCAACGCTGAGAGCCTGTGGGCTGCTGCCAGTGTTTTAAGTGGTGTCAGCTAGACTGATCTGAACAAGGTCAGATTTTATGGTGCTTGGAACAGCCTGCAGCCTTCAGTGCTGATACTGGGGAAGCTGAACCAGAGGAGGAAAAGATGGGAAAATGCTGAAGGTTTCTTAGTGCACATGAAGCCACAGCCAGAAAGGTCTTGACAACTGGGGGACAAGTGAGGGCAGTCTGGGTGCTGCTTTCATCAGCTGTACTCCAGGACTGACTCCTCTCACAGGGCCAGGGCTGAGTTCAGTGCCAGCACAGGACTGAATCGTGCCCTTTCTGCTTTTGTTCCATTTTCTCTGTCCTTCTCCTGCACAACATGGCCACCAATGACAAAAGGACTAAAATAAACTGCACTGAAGACACCACTGAAAGTAGGGCACAATATCTTTCATATCGACCTGCTAACAGTGGGTTATCTATGGCTCTTCTTAGAAGCTAATTATTTTACACATTTAAATTAGGATAATTAGATCAGCAGGAATTGAACTAAAATCAAATGTTAGTAGCCTTATGAGGATTTTCTTTAACAGGGTTTTGTGCTCTATCTGTCCCTCCTTCTAGTGAGGAGGGGCAGGAGAAGTGTCCCCTGACCTGAAGAAGAGAAAAGAAATGAGATGAGATATTTTGATTACCACCCATGTCATTAATTACATGGCCTTTGTCAAGTCTGCACCATTAATCTTAATGGAGCTCTTTACATAAAGCCATTCAGAATACAGCCAAGAGCACACACCGCCAAAAGATAAACCAAATTATTTTCAAATCACTGGCCAAGATACACACCTTTGGTCTAGCTTTTTGCATTTTACGGATACGTTGGGTGACTGCAGTCAGACAGTCCTCAGTAGTATGGTTTGCAAGCAGCTGTTCAACTTCCTCATTTTCAGCTGTCCATTTTTACATGCAGTTCTCATGTCCTTACCATGCTCCATGTGACTTAGTCTCACTCAAAAGGCTAAGAGTATTCCCACCTTTACATCCTTCCAAGAAAAGTGCCAACATTATTAATGCATTAATTAGTATCTGAAAAAATGCCAGACATAAGAGATCTGGGAAGGGAACTGAACAGTGCTTGCAGCTTTTAGAAAGTTTCAAGAGCTGGTCCCTGTTTCTGTGGTATTTGCATGTAACAGTATACATCATAAGGCCTTGTATAACGCACATCTGTTTTAAAGATAGTCTGATCCACAGGAATAAGAATACACAAAAAGAGAGATACTCTAACTCTCCATGTAAAAACACTTCAATCCAGTTGTGTTATATAGTCAGAAGGGTACATTAAATGACATTTACTTGGGCTCTTTTTTTCTATTTGGCTATAATGCATGCACCAAATTGGTTTCCAAGCATCCTTTTCAATTAATTTGAAAGTGGGTCTGATGGTACAGCAGGGCAGTACTTCAGCATGCTTTCCAGATGGACTTCAGCTTCCAGGGCTACTTGAGAACAGAGAAAACAAGCTGTGCATGTTTGGGAGTGCAGAACCAGCCTTACACTTGTCTCTGGTGTGTGAGAGAGACAGAAAGAGAACAGGCTTTTGTTTGGGGATTTCAGTGCTGGAGATCCCAGATTATCCTCCAAACATGAAGACATTAGAAGCATTAATAAAAAAAATTGGTTCAACCAAATATGCTCAGCAGCCAAGGGTTATGGTACCTGAATTCTGGCCATGCTCCAAGGCAAATCAATTCACAGTAGCTATGTGGTACACAAACTGGGTCACAAGGCTTTTTGGGGTTGGGAGAGAGACATTGTAAAAGTCATTAAAAATTAATCAGCAACTTAAATTTAAAGCATGTAAAGTGCTTTGAAAAGGTGATAAAGTAAAGGGTTGGTGGTCAATGGTAGGATCATACAAAATGAGCTAGGAACTCTTTTTATCCACAGCTTTGACACTGATTCTCTCTGTGGCCATGGACAAGTTGTTTAACCTCATCAGTATAATGAAGATAATAACTACGTCACAGGGGCATTAGGAGACTTAATTAGTTACTATTTGTAGATTACATAGATAAACTCTGAAGGTGAAGGCACTTTTTGAGCGCTAAGTATTATTATTAGATTCCGAAGTGTTAATTTCTATAATGGTGCAGGAGAACACAACAGTAAAGGCTCTGTAACAACTGCAGAAATGTTTATTCTTGCAATGCCACCATGTCAAAAGGGTACTGGAAATGGATTTGATGGGTTTTTTTCCAAAAGCAGTAACTGGAAATGTGCTTCTGTCATGTACAATATTGCTCATCTCAATGGATTTGGGGCTCCTGACTCCAACCCAAACTTTACAACCCAGATTCCTTAGTAGGAAATGCCATGTCATCTTGAACCAAACAGTTTTGTGAGCTGCAACTTCCAGTTACCCTTTTTGTGAGACTTGTGTTGTGTTGTACAGTTGTACTGCATTTATCTTCTGAGAGGGAGTACATGAGTGGGATCGATTCATTAGAAGCGGAAGTATTAGTTTGTATGGCCAGATTTTTCCTCGCAGCGCCTGGCCCATCTGTTGCCAATGCTGGATCTGCTGAACAATTGACATCCACTGTTTTTGAGCTTCTTTCTCGGCCCTTCCACGGCAAACGTAAATGCCCCTTGCAAAAGTTCCAAACTAGCAAGCAAAAAAAAAGAAGTGCAAAACCTGCTCCCAAGATTTTTACAACAAGGTCCTCTTTTTGGTCTTCCAGAGCTTTCAGTTTTGCTGGATCCTTCTGCAAAGATGATGAGACCAAAGGCTTAGCATGCATGGCAGTTGTTTTATCATTTAGTTGGTTTGTTGTATAACTTTTAGGAATAATGAAAGCACTCTCTTGCTGGCTATAAAGGATGTAGCTAGCCACAGTAATAGGGAATTGTTTCCCGTTGGCTCTCTCTACAGACTGACACACGTAGAATCCAGCATCGGCTCCTGTCACATTAAATATAATTATTCCTCCATCGTAAAGCAGGTATTTAGAATCTTCTGCCTGAAGTCTACTCCCATTGAACTTCCACACTGTGCTAGCCAGGTTGGACAGGGTAACACATTTAAGATTAACATGGCTTCCAAGGATAACTGGATATCTTCTGACATTGTTTCCTGAAATTGTGAATGTTACTTTAATTAAACACAACCAAGTCTTAATTTAACTTGCATGGCTGAACATATGCTTGGAATGACAACAACTTTAAACAGCACAACAAGAAGGACTGTTTTAAGGTATAGGAATGGAAAAAAGGAAATCCACAGCTCTGTCTCCTACACTTCTGCCAGAGAGCAAAATAGCAGAATGTGAATCTTGCTGGCCCTATTCCAGTTGTAATTAATAAACTGAATATGTGCCTGGAATTCAGAAACTTCCAGGTTTTAATTCTGACTTTGCCACACCATCACGTGGTATCTAGTCTTGAGCATGTGTTAGTGTCAACCCCAGTAAAGTGATATAGCTCCATAGAAGTGTTATTAGATTTAGACTGTACTTGTGCAATGCTTTAGGGATACAAAGAGATATATAAGCACTCTTCAACTAGTACTGTATGCTACTGTCCCACAATATGCATTAGTTATGAGTTTTCAATGCAAAGTTTACAAAATCAGGGCCTGAAAGAAAGCACTAAGGATTTTCATCTTGGATTCTCTCTGTAAATCTGGAATCCTTAATCCTTTTGCAGTTTAAAGGCTTTATTATACTTTAATATTCCCCTTTCAACATCCACAGCCAAACTAAAACTTGTGACATTCTTGCAATTTCAGTATGATCACCATGCACTGACAAAACTGAAGTCAAATGAACATGAATTAAAAAAAGAAAAAGAAAAGCAACAACACTTCGAAGTCCATGTATTATTTGATTATAGTAGTGGTTCATGGGCTGAAGAACTCGGCCTTTGCCTGAGGACTAAGAATATATTCAAAATTTGGCTTTATTCCAGAACAACAAATGCTCTGCTGAAATCTAATCATCACCTAATGCATACCAATAGTATGTCATCTTTCAAGCACAAGGCTACAGGCCACTCTTGTATCTAGGTTTGAAAGCTTCGTTAAGGAAGCTGGGAGAGTTGCAAAGTGGAGAAGGCAACAGTGAGCTTTACGTAGTTAAAACAGCAGCTCCTGGCAGCCAGAAAGGCCTGTTAACTTATTAACATGCAATCCTTTCATTTTCTCTAAAACATTGAACTGCTATTTGCAAACGGAAACAAAATTAAACATTCTACAGAAGTCACTGGAAAAAGTTAAGTCAGATCTGTTTTCACAGTAAGACTAACTTGTTTCCTAATCTCTCTTTAAAAATTAATTATAAATGAATCCTTTACATCTCTCCCTTCACTGTTGTTTCTAAAAAATGTTGATTATTTGAATGTTATTTCTGCCAAGCCATACCAAGTGCCAGTCACAGTGATAGTTAACAACACATCTTATATTCCATATGTCACTTTGCAGCTTGAGGGGGGGAATACCAACCAGCTCTAAAATCACAGGCCATGTTTACACTTCCCCTGAGATGAATGGTTTCATTATGAACTAAAATATCTTGATCTCAAGTTCAAAGGAGTTAAGAACAGGCAAGAGGTAGCAACTCAGTTGTTTTTTTTTGCCTTTCCTGGTTCAAAAAGCCCACTCACTTTTAACTTCGGGCTGTTTGAAATATAATTTAGCTAAGATATCAAACATTTCAATGACCATAGATATATGATGTATAGAGCAGATTACTTATTTTCATTTTGTACAGTGTTTCAAAAGTGTTTTCTTAAAAGGTAAATATTCACGTACCTAAACTAGGACATTTGGAAACATCCCCATATTTAATGCTCTGGATTAAATTCCTGAAAGAGAGATTAATAAGAAATACATTATGAGGATTTAAAAACTTTCATTTCGTAAGCTCTCGGGTTTGGCCCGGTTTTGCCCTATAGACTGTTGGAGCAGTATTTTGAAAGCAAGATAAGTCTCAGCTCTACTATAGAGCTGAAGTAAAATATACTTACTGAATGTCACCAATCTGATTAGCCACAGGAACACAAGCAGCAGAAGCCTGAGACCACGCACAGTAGGGATCCCTCGCCAACACACAATCCAAGCAATGTTTATATTGGTGGCAGAGTGAAACTGGAACCTGAACCACTTGGGATGGAGACCCCACGTACAGCAGGCCCTACAAATGCAGGATATTGAGTGCTTACTTATGTTATAACATTGCTTTAGGTTTTAAAAGTTTGTTAAACGCATGGTGACCATTTCTGATTTTTAATCATAAATTAATTATATCTTTTGCAAGAACAGATTATGACATTGTTAAATAAAGATTGTGTGAATATACACAGAGCTCTACAGAACACATGAAAAGACAAGAGTTCCTGACCTGACCAGACCCATGTCTATGAATACTCTGGGAACTGCTGATGAATATATGAATGCTTGTTTCTGTTGTTTCAATATACACAGGAGTCTTATTGTCACAGACAAAACCTTGTCTTTTTGTGATTATTTGGACAGGTAGCTGGCTGGGGTCATCTGACCCCAGCACTCTTTCCTGCCCAGGCAGGGGGTCAGATTTGATGATCTGCTGAGGTCCCTTCTGACCCGAGCATCTATGAATCTATGGCTCAGTGCAGGAGTAGAGCTTTTTACAGAACATGGGGAAGTCAAATGACAAGTGTAGAAAATGTCTGAGGCATCTCAAAACAGCACAAACTTTGCATAGGCACCAACAGAAGTTTTACCTTCCTGGAAGAGAGTTTGAGAGACTGTACAGGCTCAGGAGACCGGAACAGCTGTCTCTCTTCCACAATGAACATCTCTCCATTGCAGTTAAGACCTTTATGCAAATATCCATTATCTGTGTAAAAGGAAATGCACTTTTAAGGACAAATGTGTGCAAAAATAACATAACAATATCTTCAATTTTAAAATTAATCAGTCTTATCTATTGCTTTAGGCAAGTCTTCGAGCTAGGAAAGTTCCAAGTTATTCTATATCACTTTTTTTTTTTGTGCTTATCTTTCTGTAAAGAAGTAGTGATGATTTATCTCAGAAAAGCAGGATTTTGATTTTGGAAGATTTCATTACATTCCTCTAAATATAGAAAATTTCCAGAGACCTCTTACTATCTAATACTTCATCCAGGAGCAGGATGGAAATTCCAGACTAGCAAGTCAGCTTCTACACACCAAGCACTTAAGCAAAAATCTCATCCTTTCCTCCAAAAAATTCCTAGCTCTTATACCCTTAACTAGAGGTCCTCTCATCCCGAGTGAGATTCACGTGTGCTAGGAGACAGCACAAGGCCTATATGCAGCTACTGCCCTATGTAAGACCTTTTGAGAGCCTGACCACATTTCTATTACAAATCTTTTGAAAGTACTGAAATAAATGCCACCTTCTTATAAATTATACCTTAGAAATGTTTAAGAAGAAAATGGCACCATATTGAAGGCTTCCTGACAGGAACAAAACAGTGCAAAGAAAAAAATAAGTCTTAAATAATGCTAATAACAAGGAAGCAAGGACAAGGGAACATCATTCAAATGCCGCAATAACTATAAGCAATGGCCACAGTTCAAAGCACTTAAGTCCCACTGCCTTTAAGCATTAAGTGTTTTGCTGAACGAGACAAATTTTGCCCTCACAAAACAGAGACTATCTAGCACTAGGGAAGTAAAGCAAATTAGACAAGTAATTAGAGAAGAGAGATGTAATACATAAAATTTCTCGTTGTCTTGCTATTTGATGTATTACTGTACAGTAAATTAAGATGAAGAACTTGTGATGCATGAATAAGGGCTGGTGGGATCCTTGTACTTTTTAAAAGCTCAGGAATAAGTTCTAAAACAAAATAGGTTTTAGACCTATAAAAAATTCAGTTTCTTGTTTCTAAAATAAAACCACTTACCTGTTCCTATAAACATAACGTCGTATGCTTTTTTATCTAGGCCAACAATTCTTTCTACTACAATCTTGGTATAATTTGAACCTCTTTTCAGTAGCACTGGCCAATTACCAACTGGATTTACAACATTATCCATTAGAGGGTGGTCTCTAGCAAACTGCAGAATCTTGTCGGGCAAATCAAGTGAAATGTTGTATCCAAAACTTCGGGCGAAATTATCAATACACTAGAAACAACATACAACAGAGTTGATTACAAACATTTTGCAATTAACCAATGTACAAGACAACTTATGCTCTAAACTTTTGTCTCTAGAGTGACATTCATCCAGGTGCTGAGAACCAGCTTTTACGCCCTGTTGTGGTGTGAAGTAGGGAAAATGGCATACCAGAGGGACTGATGTGCACCCAGGCCTGGGTTGGGGGGGAAATTAGACTACAATGAGACAAACCAAAAGAGTTTCCTTTAAACAGAAAAATAAAGTAGTATTTACAGCCCCAGGACGCGGAATTGGCACTTTGCCCCCGTACACCACCCATTTGACATGGGAATGCTCCATAGTTACTGGTCCTTTGTAGTTTCCTTTGGAGAAAACTTCCTGAATTGTTTCCATACTGTATGCACACACGGATGAAATGTCCAGTCTTCCCCTTGGAAGGTAAAAAGAAAAAGGTGTGTTATGTGACCTTTTATTGTGTAAAGGAAGGCTGTAAAACACAATTCACTTTTCACACTATTTTCTCATCAGATTTACTGAAAATATATCTGTGAACAAAAACATCTTTTCTTGTTCTTGGGATTCACAAAGAAGGGCCTAGAACGAGGGTAGTTTGTACAGGATTTTGTTATTATCCTTCGTTATTATTATCCTTTCATTGCTTTCCGCCAAATCAATCTAAATAGCCTAGGAGATGGACACCTTAGATGAGTTCTTTGCGCTGATAACGACCAGTGACAGCAGCCAGACAGGCTTAAGGATCATGGCTGGGCAGCATTTACTGGGCCTTCTCCCTTCTGGCTCACTGCTATTTACACAAAAAATTCCCCCCTCTCCTTTCAGTCCTTGCATCCAATTTTAGTATTTTCAAAGCTCTGGAACTGCTTCAGTCACACCAGTGTAAATCAAGCAAGTCAACGGAGTTACCCTAGAGTTACACATATTAACTAAACGCAACATATGCTCCAATCCCTGATCCTTGCAGAAAATGCTTGTAGCAGCTCTGGCCCTGAGAAACCAGGCTATATAAATAGGAAGATTTGTTGAACTGTATTCAACAATGCTGAGTGTTTATTTCTACAAGCTAAAGGAGAATATTCTGTGATTTTTAACATGACTCCCATGCAGATTTGTATACATAAGCACATGCCGGCATAGACCCTGCAGTGAGATAAATAGGGGTGGTGTAAGTTACAGAGGATAGATATTGACCTGGAAATAGGAGAGCAGTAAACACGCATCAGTTTAGATAACATCCATTTCAGACTTCTGAAGTCATCAGAAGCCACCAAAGCTATCCCCTCGTGCTTACTTTGTGACTTGTGGCCATTGATCAGCACAATCTGACTGCTCACGTACACTGCTTATGTCCCTTCATACACACACACACACACACACACACGAAATCAAGCAAACTTTGACATATTTTACGTGTAACAACATATCCGGGAGGCCTGTTTTTATTTTCACAAAACACTATCATAGACAGTAGGCCTTGACAGATGCTGCTTTTGGAATAAGGGTACTTCAGACGACAGTGGTTTCCTTTCAGTAGGGCACCGCTTATCATGTACCTTAGAGTGCCAGCTGTTTCATTTAGTAAAGGAAGAAGCAGTGGAAATGGAGGCTTTGATCTAAGTGCTAAATGATGTCATTTTCATTTTCTCCACCAACTGGAAGGAGCAAGCATAACCCCAAGTGTCTGAACTAGGATTAGCCTTCCATTAAAAGCTTTGGCCCCAAAATCACAAACATCTAGCTTCCTAAGATGGTAACGTTGGCTCAGCTGGACGGAACTGTAAATGAAAAGAAGTGCAGTCTACTAAAATATGTGGAATGGCTGATCAATTCTTACTCTGAGTCACAGACAAATGGTTGCAATCAGGCCAATAACACTAAAGAGCCCATTACTCCATCCTGAGTGGCATCTACACTCACAGGAGACAGCCACAACTGGAAGGAAGGAAGTGAACATATAGTCTTCCTATTCAAAATAGTTCCTGGAACTGCTAGGCCACTTGCTGGAAGCAATAGATCCAAACCTATGACCCAAATGACTAGGAGGAAGTAAAAAAGCTACGCACACAAATCCTTTTACCCAAGGTCTCAGGCCTCACAAACAAACAAACACACAGGGGTGGTCCCAACCCCGGTGACAGCACATTGTTCACCTTTACAGTAACCAGACTCCTTTGAGATCTGGTATCCGTATAGATATTATACACCCACTTACATGCACACACCATCACTGGTGCTCCAGTGCTTGCTATCAGTCTTTCAGCCAAAATGTACCCTTTGGGAATACTGATATCTTATCACTCTGTGACATGCTGTGCTAGCTATGTGTGCTCTAGCTCCTGAACCAGAAACAATACAGCACAGTGCATGGGCCAATAAATCCTGCTAAGAAGCTTTGCACAAGTATTGCACTAACATGACTGTAAAGCTTCTGGTTTGGAAGCCAGTGCTCACCAACCTGCCTTGTGTCATACAGACGTACTTTGAATGTCTTGCACTGCTTGCTGAACACACACACTCCCCCAGACACTAAAATATAAATTAGGTAAAAGGAATGCTTCAGGGCACAGACATGGGGGAGCTCCATCTTGTAACTATGGGGTAACTGGGCCCATCCTGCCCAGGCTGAGGACAGTCAAAGTGTTCTTGGTCCCAAAAGACACTACTGGCCAAGATGTTAATCTTTAGTGCACTGAAAATGAAATATTTATGAAAAAATGCCTGAGGGAGAGTTTTCTTTGGGAAGAAGCAGTTTGATGCAATAGCAATTAGAGTGCCAGAACACTTTTACATTTGAGTTTACAACAATTTTGAAACAAATCCAAGTACATAGATGCAACATCTATTTTGAAAAACTGCTTCAAAATATTAGCTATAGATGCATTTCTTGTATCTTACCATTGTTGAGTAAATATCCCATAAAAATTTGTTTCTTGCCAGCCTGCTGTCTTAAGTAAAAAGACATCCTGAAGAATATTAAACTGGAAATTTAATTCTGGAACAGAACAGACAAGTCTGGATTTTAAAAATGTTGTCCATCTTTTTTGTAATATACGTTTTCCTCCAAGATCACCCTGTATAAAGGAAAGATACCAACACTGTAGACAAACATCATTTCACTCCCACAAACAGGCTAGATACTACTAACACAGCCAAGGGTTTGACCAGCCGGCCTCTATAAACCTCAGTGTTCAAGGCCAGTGAAGAGAGTTTTGAATATCTCAGAGATCTGAAAATCTGTTTCAGAAGAGACAGTCAAAAGTGAACAAAGTTCAGTAATAGAAGGTGGATGGTACAATTTGTTCACTTTGGTTTGAGGAGTCATCTAAAATATTTGTATACTTAAAAACAAATGACCTAACCACCAAGACTCACCTTGCAAACACGAGCAATTCTTGACACAAGAGGCTTGTCATAGAATTCAAATTCAACAGCAGTTTCAGTGAAGAACACATAAATTTTATCATCATCTCCATTTGAATTTGATTCACTTTCCTTCACTATATCCATATGGACAAAATTGGGCTCTGAAATATTTGAACACATAACGCTATCGTTTTTTTTTCTAATGTAGAAAGCAACATGACTATCAAACATTATTAAAAATGGAGTAAAATAATGGTTTTTTGGAACAGTAGACAAGGAAAGTACTAGAAATAACCTATAAGATCTCAGACAATATTTATTATAGATCCTATCAAAAGATTTAAAAAGGTATATCTCCATGAGTGAAAATGAACTGTGGATTGCCTTTCTACGTTAATCCTTAACTGATACTGTATTAAGTAGTCCTTCTTTTAACAACTGATCTCTGTTTAGAAGCTCAAATTTTCTACCCAGAGAGAAATCAGCAGGCATTAATTTCATGAAGCAAGAAGAATGCTGAAACTCACATTAATTTATTTTTATTTTTTTACCAAAGAGGAAATGTATTAGCGCTAATGCTACACAAGAACTTTTTTGTTTCTTCAAGTAAAGGTTTATCGGTTAATCTGATTCTCTTATATTTCTTTCCCAGTGTTATGAAGCAAGGGCTGCATGAAATAAAATGCTTTTGTGAAAAATAGCAAAGCTAAAATACTAGAAATGCCATTCCGCAAAACTGTGCATGTGCCTAGAATGGGTGTAGGTTTTGATGTCTAGAGAGTTTATAATATACTTCTGCAAGATGAAGTGAGTTAAAAATAAGAGCAATAATCTCAAACCGCAGGCAAACTGGTGAAAGCAAGGAATTCAATATCAACATTTGATTTATTTTTTTAGCAGTTTAGTCTTTTCTTAAATTTAGGACACACAAAAGTTTATGTGCTAAACTGCATCAGCTCCCACAAAGGTGGCTTGAGAACTTACGTGTTGAACAAGCATCAAAATCCATTCTGACGTGTGCCTACTTGCAGCTTGTTTGCTTGTACTCTTAAGTAGTAGAAGTTAGTATGCTTTGCTAGTTTGTCCCAGCAGATTACTGTGAAACAGGGGCGAGTTACTACAGTATAGCTTCTACATAGCAGGTGATATGTGGTAAAGCCCCATGCCTTTTTACTCCATGGTAAATCACTTGTTATGAAATCTCATTACAATTTCTGCCTTGCTGTGATACTTATTTAATGACCAGAAAAACTTTGCTTTTTAGTATCTTTCGTATCAATAAACACATTTTAAACTGGTATTGAACAAGACCAAATGCAATTATGATTCAATATTTGGTTGCTGTACTCCCAGAATCATAACCTATATCACTTTTTGACAAATATCTCAAGAATGGCAGCTGCATTTATAGTAAGTTTTAAATGATGTTCCAGTTTATAAATAACAGTAACAAGCACTGGACATCATCACTCTGCATTGTGACAAAAAATGCATGTAGTTCTATTTTTGTCTATTTTTTTTAAAAAAAGGTCAAGCGAAGTGGAAATTTGTACTTTGGAAGGGCTAAATCACACACAAAAACTTCTTACCATTTAGCCATGATGTTTTAAAGTCTGTCCGCAAATGATTTTTCAAACTGCGTCGTATGATAGGCTCAGTACCCAAGAAATTGTTTGAAGTAGCTGAATACAATTCACCATCTGTAAATTTAGTGAAAAAGTGCATAGAATCCTTACTTTCATCATCAGTTAAAATGAGAATATTACATGCAAATGTAAACTGAAGAGTGCATGTGACCACAAGTTTTTCTCCTGATAAGTCCTGTGAAGTGCTGAGTGCCCTGAACTCCAGATGCCTTTATCAGGAATTGTGGGTACTCAGAAGCATGCAAGATTAGGTCCTGAAGACTGTAAGAAGTTAAGCACTTGCTTTGTTTTCTCAGCTTTGAAGACATTTGTATTAAATGAACTGAAGGGCAGCTTGCTGGAAATTTTGTGCTGCTTGATTGTAACTGAAGTGCTCTGAATGTGTAACTTCTATACATAGTCACTGTTCAGACTATCTGTGTATTCCTAGGGTAGGTATTGAGAGCTTTAAAAGGAAAATGCAAAAAGCTATTGCTCTGGCAGTTCTCTATTCATCCTCATTACTGCCTGACATCAATAATAATTTATGGTGAACCACATACACAAAACAGCATCCCTCTTAAGCAGCTTCATATATAAAAAGAAATAACCCAAGTATCTCCAAACATACCAAGAATGCTCTCTTCTATCGCTGCTCAAAGTTTACCTCTTTCAAGTAACTGATTTTTGTCAGTCCCATGACCAATCACTTGAACAAGTTTCAGGGTGTACTGTGCATGGGCCCAAGAGATGATAGCATGGATAAGAGCCAATGTAAGATTTAAAATCCCAGCAAGATCAAAAGGTAAATATTTGAAAGCACTTAAAAACATAGGGAACAAAGGGCAAAATGTTCAATGAACAGTGAAAGCCAGTAATGGCTAGGAAGAGTCTCAAAGAAGTGACCGAGGGAATCCATCTGGTAATTCCAAATGTTGCTAAGAGACACTGACTCGGGTTTCAAAAATGGTTTTTATCCACGAAAGAAAATCTCTTCCATGTGGCTTTCTGATGATCCCATCTGAAACATTTCACATTGGCTTTATGACCTTGAAATTCATTTGAAATCTTAGGAATTCAGAAGTAAGCAGTTAGATTAAAGAAAGTCAGATATGGCCAAAAGATTTATACTGAGAAAATCAGCAATGCATCCTTCTGAAACCCCCCTGATATCAATGAGCCAATGGGGCCAACAAGCAAATGCATATTTAACTGTATTAAAATAATTCTGTTTAGTTTTGCAAATGATAATGTCATCTGTGTCCTACTCTCAGTCTTAGAGAACAAATGAGGTGATAGCATTTTATGAATAAGAAAAAGCAGAATAAGGATTAGTATCTGACAGATGTGGCTGGCTAGCTTCCATGGCAGTCCCAAACGTACCGACTAGTAGAGAAGCATACTTCAGAGTTGGTTTAAAAGGACACTTTCCTTTGCTGTCTTCAGCTTTCCCTTGCAGGTGAGCATCTGTATTGTTGAATACCTGTTGTAAAAAGCCATTACCATAGAGTAAAATCTACCTCATCAAATGAAATGATTGATACAATTTCTATTAAAGGAGAAAAACCAATAGGTCAATGTGAATATTTGTACAAAAATGTACTTTGTCAATATTTTTCAATGAAGAATTCAATAATGAATTATGAAAGCTCCTTATCACTGGTTGGCTGTCCTTTTAAGGGGACTCAGGGCCTAGTCTCCCAGTGATGAGGATAACATATTTCATCTGGGTATACATGCTCTTCTACGCAGCAAGGAGCAAAATTCATATTTGGTGCAAGTGAAGCTCTCAGTCTTTACGAGTAGTCTGCTATTGCCTTATTGCTAATGAAATATAGTCAAACAAAAAGTTAATCTTTATAGATGCTTTTGACACAGAAATGGCATACAACCAATTTACAGCTTATTGTTAACATCTTACTATTCGTGCAGTGTCAGCTATGCTGTAGACACTCAACTGATATGTAATCCCATTTATGTGTACACAGATAAGGCTACAGCACAAGAAATGGCCATGACTGTTTGCAGAAGTGAATGTTTCTGCTAAGATGACAGCAGATACACAAGCCATGAGGCAAGCATGTAATGCGGTTACTAAACTTGTTTCAGAATGACCAAATGTGCAGTAAAATAATTACTACTAATTTTCAGGTGGGACATTATTTGGAAATATTCTTTAAAATTGCCTTTCTATTCAAACAATTTTATAAATCTGCAATTAAAACCTGTACTTAAGTCGATCAAAAGGCTCACCATGTAATCACAAGCTGGGTGAAATGCATTGGTTCCACAAACATATAAGTTGGTATCATTTATCTTATGGAGGAGGAGGATATAGTTTTGGCATTCCACCTGAAACAGCAAAAAAAAAAAAGAAAAAGAAAAAAAAGAAAGAGTAAACTTAGATATTTTAGCAGCCTGTGCATGAATGTCCCAGGGGTCTTAATAAAAAGCAAAATGTACAGAGTATGTCCAAATCTACCAGAGTTGAATTCAACAGATAAAAAGCAACAAAGAGATATTATATTATAAAGTATTTAAACATATTAAAAATATAAACAGTATTTCCCTCAACGATGAACTGATATAGTACTGTAAGTGCCTGACTCAAAAAAGCACATAAGAACTGCTCATTGCTTATGAGAATGAGCAATCCTATTCATTTCAATAGTACTCAGTATGATACCTAATACTAATTCAATAACTCATTCATGAAAACAAACACTTTACCTACTTTGCCCTTTCCTCTGCGAATGCAGTCCTGCTGTCTATCTTGTGAAGTGAACCAGTACACCTGAAATCCAAAAAATATACCACATTTGGTACACTGCATTTTTGGGTCTAAAATTCCAAGTATGAAATGAAAACAAAATACATTTGAAATTTAATTTTGTTGAGGGAGAAAAACCAGATTCTTCTCTGTGGATGTTGCCCTTGCAACAGAACTGGGGTCATTCTGCTATATAAGGAGAGCAGACTAGAGTCAGTGACCACAGAAAGAAATGTATTTGGTAGTCAGTACTACCTGCAAATAAACACACGGCAGAGCCCACACAGAGTGAGGTGCATTAGCTGTGGTTTTGGTAAAAGAATAGATACTTCAGAATCAGATATGTAAGTACTTGCTTCAGATTCTCGGACCGCTTTCAAAAGAACAAAAAGGTCCAATTAGTGGCGACCCCCCTGCTCAGCTGTGGGAATGAAGCAGTAGAAATGTATTCAATGTAGTGGCTCACCATGACTTGAAAACTTCAGTGCTGAGGGGGACGGAGTGCA